TGTGTGTGTGTGTGTCTGTGAAAAAAGCTAGCGATAATGGAGGTTGGCTGCTAGCCAACTTCTACAAACTTTTTTTTCTCCCCCGGACAAACTGGAATAATGAACTTCAATACAATACGCGACATGCTGCCAACAATATTGTTATGCGAGTGTTGTTTGAATGATACAATGTCTTGGTGCTCACCTCGAACCTGCCTTTTATCAGTCTGCTTTCTTTCTGTCTGCCTCATTTGACTCTGTTATTTCTTTTTATCGGAAGGTTACACTTTATATATACACACACACATCTTTTTCTTTTGTTTCTTTTGTGGTACACCACTAGACTAGAACAATAAATGCTGCCTCCACCTGACTGAGTGTCATTAAACAGAAAAGTATGAGCCTGATCCTTTAACGATGGAGGACAATCGAGGTCTTTTAGTTTGAGTTAAAAGACTTTTTGGCATTTAAGAAAATACTTACTCTTTGTTGCCACTAGATATGGGTGATGATAATCTTAGCTCAGCATAAGGAAGCTAATTAATTAACACATTGTGCTTTGTTTTGTTTGTGTTTATTCTGTACAGAAACAGAAACTTGGTGTCAATTTTCTCAGCAAACTCTAAATATGCATATTTAATAATTTTGTTTAAAGCAGCAACAAAAAAAAATTCATTTTGTGTTGATTCTGTCGGCCCCTCATGTCATTGATTTCAAGGGGAATCTGGCCAAATCCGACCTGGGCAGGCATGAAGAATAAGAAACCAGTCAAAAACTCCTTGTAGTACTTTTAATAATTGAATAAGCGTATTTCCCAAAACTATTTATTTAACAACTTTAATGAATTAAATTATCTGATTATTATTTTGCAAAGACTAACAAGTCAAAATGTCTCTGCATGTCTATTTCTGTCCTTTATGCTGATGCTGATTCAGATGAGCTTGCAACATTTTGGTGCCAAAACTTTGACAACCGTCTCAGGTAGCATCACGACACTGACAAATTCCGGCTGCAGGAGTTCAAACATGTGTCACGTTGTTTCTCAACATGTCATGCTGCAATTTTGTTCTTCAAATTCGAGAGAGGGAGCACAGCGCAGCCTTTCACTCCTCACACTGATTAGAGAGCATCATGTCAGCGCCACATGCGAAGGAAAAACATCAGATACGTGACATTTTTAGATGCAGTGTGAACGTAGCTCCAGAGACGGATGGAGAACACGAGTTCCTATAGAGAAACGGGGGAATGGAGGGTTAGACAGATGTGTTAGTGGTCAGGTCACAGCTGGATCAATTCTCTGCTGTTTGGACTGGCCACATTAATAAGAACACTAACACCCTGTGGGCTCCAAAGATCCAATTTGGGAGCTGGAGAGCCAAAGGG